ACTCACGCTGTGTTCTCGTGTGTTTCAGTGTGTTTCATTCCAACAGCTCAATCAGCAGGGCTAATAACTGGACTGTATCTGTGCTGTGTCCTTTACGTGACTGCCTGCTTTCATTGTTTTAAAAGGGGGGGGAGAGAGAAAGAGAGAGAGAGGCCTTTAAAATCACCTTCATTTTCAAAATGACCTTCTCAGAAAAGATTATTCATAAGTTTACATAATCAAACCATTAACCCATCTTGTACAGTATGATGCTCCTGATGTTAATGTAAAATCAAAGCTTCCTTGTTATGAGAAGAGAGAGAGAGAGAGAGAAAGAGAGAAAGAAAAAGAGAGTGCACAAGTGTTCCTTGCCATTACCAGAATGCTAAGTATGGCGAGCAAAGCCTCAGAACACAGTCTTGTGTGTTTGTGTGTGTGTGTGTGTGTGTGTGTGTGTGTGTGTGTGTCTCCAGAGGGGCAGGAGGAAATTGAGCCCTGGCTGGATCTAATAGGTGGGAAACTGTTAAGTTCCAGAGAAATGGACTTCAAATTTAACCTGGATGGAAATTGATCCTATTACCGTGTGCTCCTCTGCCCACAGAGAGAGGAGGAGGGGGAGTAGAGGGAGAAAGGAGGAACAGAGTACTGAGAGACAGAGAGAGAGAGAGAGAGAGAGAGAGAGAGAGAGAGAGATAGAGATGAGAAAGAGGGGAGAGAGAGAGAGGAGAAAGAGAGGGAGACAGAGAGAAAGAGAGGAATATGGAGCGACAGAGAGATGAGAGGGGGGGAGAGAGGAGAAAGGAAAGAGACAGAGAGGAGAAAGGGAGGGAAAGAGAGAAAGAAAGATGAAAAAGGGAGGGTCAGAGAGAAACAGATGAGAAAGGGGGGAGAGAGAAAGGAGAAAGGGAGGAAAACAGAAAGTGAGAGAGAAACAGAGGGAGAGAGAAGAAACTGAGTTAGAGAGAGAGGAGAAAGGGGGCGAGAGAGAAGTAGAGGGAGAGAGAAGAAAGATGTAGAGACAGATATCAAAGATGAGAAACAGGGAGAGAGACAGGAGAAAAGGAATGAAAGAGAATGAGAAAGTAAAAGAGAGAGATAGTGAAGGGGTGGGAGAGAAAAAATGGAGGTAGAGAGAGAAAGTGAGAGAGGAGAGAGAGAAGTTGAAGGAGAAAGGAGAAACGGACAAAGAGAGAGACAGGAGAAATGAAGATTCAAGAGATTCAAGATTCAAGACTTTTATTGTCATATGCTCAGCAGAAACAGGCAGTTACACTTTACAATGAAATTCTTACTTTGCTGTTCCTCCATTCACCAAATATAACCTTAGAAAAAAATAGAAATATAAAAAATATATTAAATACACAGAATAAGTAGAAATACACTAAAAAGTAATAGTAAAAAAGTACAGTTATATGTGCAGAGTTGAAAGAAAAATTAAAGTTACGGAATTAGAGAGAGAGGGAAAGTACGTGAGTCTGTGTGTGAGAAAGGTAGAGATAGAGAGAGAGAGAGAGATGTAGAGGGAGAGAGGAGAAAGAGAGAAGGAAGGAGAAGGAGAGGAGTAAGGGAGGTAGGGAGAGAAAGAGAGAGAAGAGAGACATGGAGGAAGAAAAGGAAAAGGTAAAAAGGAGGAATAAAAAGGAAAAGAGGTGAGAGAAATAGATAAAGCGAGAGAGACGCATACGAGGGGGAGTTAAATGAAGGGAGAGAAGGAGAGAGAAATGGATGGAGAGAAGAAGGTAGCAAGAGAGTATGAGAGAGAAGGATTGGGAGAAAAAGAGGAGAGGGGGAGAAAGAGATGAGATGGAGAGAGAGGGTGTGTGTGTGTCAGTGTGTATCAGAAGGAGAGGCTGGATGTGGGGATGAATAGAATATTGAGGGAGTGAAGAAAGAAAAGCAGAAGAAAAAAGGAAAAGGTAGAGAAGGAGGATAGGAGTGGAAGATAGACAAGCAGAGAGAGAAGAAGAAGAAGAAGAAGTGAGGGGGTAATGAGAGAGGAGGAGAGAGAGAGGGAAAAAGAGAGGGAGAGAGAGAGAGAGAGGGGGAGAGAGAGAGGTGAATAGGGTAGAAGTGGCTGTGATTAGAGATTATGGGATGTCAGCAGGGTTTTGGCCTTTACACAGAGCCAGTCCTGTTCTATCTGTGTCAATACAGGGAGAGAGGGAGAGGTGGGGGGGGGGCTGAGAGTGAACCTGAGCGTGATGTGTGTACTACACCATTCTTACATCTTTCTACAGGAATCCATCTCTCCTGCTTCATCCTCTTTTATACTCCTCACTCACTCTCTGCCATGTGTCCGATTAGAAGCCAAGGTGTCCTCCTTTCATCGTGGCCCCTGATTGTTCCGCCTTTGATCTTTGTAGCCCCCCAGACCCCTTCACCTGCACCCATACCATCTCTGAGTACAGTGTCAACAACCTGAGCAGCTGTGTTGTATTTGTGTTAAAGTAATAGTTTGGGCAAAAATTAGCCCAGTTGTAGTCCATCGGCCAAAACATGTTTGGTCTGAAGTTTGCTTCTTTAGTTTTACACTGGAGATACAAGGCTATTGTTGCTAACAATATATAATTGTTAATAACAGAAGCTTATATTTCACCAGTTAGCATGTCTAAATCATCACGTACTTGTATCACAGCATAGTGAGTTGTTAGAGCTGGATATCCTTAAAAAAATTGATAAAAAATACCAATCTGATAGCTTGACTTCAATACCGATATCACAACGCACCTTTTGGCACCTTTTTTGGTGACAAATAAGACATTTACGAAAGAATTATTATAATTTAATATAATATAATAATGATAATAAGAAGAACAATAAAGACTGATGTAGTGAGGTTTATTGATTTGATAATAGCCTGACTGTAGAATCTGATAAACACTTAACCACTAAATACAGTCATGCAGTGGAAGAAAAATACCTCTCCAGCCAGTTAGCCTATATAAACCAGGGAGGATGAACAGTGTGAAAAGGCTATAATCATTGTTAATGATAAATTAGTTGTTTCACTGTGGATGACCTCAATAGATAAAGATGAACTAGCCCTAGCGTGGTCAAAGCTGTCACCTACAACATGAAAATGAAACGTCACAGTTATTAGGGCTCATTTATGAAACCCTCTGAGAATCTCATGCAAAACTCAAAAAGCTGCCCATTAAACTGTTATCTTACCCGTTCATACGTCCTCACTGAAAACATTTGTGTCTGCCTAACCCTAACCCCAAGCTTTCCCATCTCTGGCAGTGACAGTTGTGGTGTGTTAGTGTGTGTTGTGCTGGTACAAGTGGATCAGACACAGCAGTGTTGCTGGAGTTTTTAAACACCTCAATGTCACTGCTGGACTGAGAATAGTCCACCATCCAAAAATATCCAGTCAACAGCATCCTGTGGGCAGCGTCCTGTGACCGCTGATGAAGAACTAGAGGATGATTAGCTCATACTGTACAGCAAGAGATGAGCCGTCGTCTCTGGCTTTACATCTACAGGGTGGACCAACAATGCAAGTGCGTCTAATAGAGTGGACAGTGAGTGGACACAGTGTTTAAAACCTTCAGCAGCACTGCTGTGTCTGATCCACTCGTACCAGCACAACACACGCTAACACACCACCACCACGACAGTGTTACTGCAGTGCTGAGGATGATCCACCACCCAAATAGTACCTGCTCTGTGAGGGTCCTTGGGGGTCCTGACCACTGAAGAACAGGGTAAAAGGGGGCTAACGAAGTATGCAGAGAAACAGATGGACTACAGTCTGTAATTGTAGAACTACAAAGTGCACCTATATAGTAAGTGGAGCTGATAAAATGGACAATGAGCATAGAAACAAGGAGGTGGTCATAATGTTATGCCTGATCGGTGTAGTTGTTCCCTGTATGTTCTTATGTTCGTCCAAAGTGTTGACAGTAGGTTTTTTTCTTAGATTTTCTTTGAACCGAGATGTTATTTTGATGCCTTTTGGGTACTGATTTTCGGTACCCAGCTCTACTTCTGTATCCTGCACAGCATGCAGGATACAGAAGTAGAGCTGTATCCTGCACAGCATGCTTTAAACCGTGCTTTTAAGTTGAAATAAACATCAATGAATATTATTATTATATATGCCAGTTTAGAATTGTTTTGTGGAATGTCTAAAGTTTATGTGCTTGTCAAAAAATGCGTTCACCCACTCCCTAAGAGGTATGTTTTGTTTTGTTTTTTTAAGCATGAGATGCACCTCATGATCTCATGTTTAAAAAGGCTTCTGAATGCTCCCTTAGGCATTATTCAAAGTGGTGACATAATAATACAATTCAACAGTAGTCAATAAATAATTAATTATTATTAAGTTATTACATGCAGTTTCGATGGTACTAATTGATGCACATAAGCTTCCATTAACAACTATGTTTGCAAATTTCAGACACCAAACATATCTCAGCTAATTGACTGCCTTTGTGATAAAAGGAAACTTGTGTAAATTAGTTTTCTGTCCGAACCATCACTTTAACTGCTCTTGTAGTAGCACAATTGCAGGGTATAGTGCCCTCAGAGGTGCAGTATAAGTCATAATAACATAAATATACAAATGGCTTATTTTGCTGCTCAATGCCTAATTTAATAGAAGCTCAATGACAAAATAATTAGAAAATGCCTTTTACTACAAAATGATTTATCTCCACAGCACTTCACAGTATGATAGTAAAACCAACGTTTGCATTCTGTCTGTCCACACTGAAAGCATAGCTGCCTTCTGTGGCTCTCTCACCGCAGAGCATAAAATCTAAACCCCTCACTCAGCATGTTCTCTCACTCTCCACAGTCTTTTTGAGCTCTTTTAGCTGTGTCAAGTCGTCAGTGATTTGAATTAATATCCTGTTCACAGTCAAAAGTACTAAATATAGCACTCTGTTTCATTCTTCACATTATTTTCTTTATTTGTTTCTCTTTTTTGGTTCTTTTTTTCTCTTTTCTGTTTTTCTTACTTCTTAATAATGACATTTTAAAATGTGTGCCCAGCGTAAATTCTTTCTCTCCCTCAGAGCCCATGCATGGCCCTCGGCAGCTGAAGGTGGTGGACATCAAGTCCAGGCAGGTGACCATACGATGGGAGCCTTTCGGCTACAACGTGACCCGTTGCCATAACTACAGTCTGACGGTGCAGTACCGGGCCCGTGCGGGGGGTAAAGAAGAGAGCCGAGAAGAAGTGTTCTACGATAGCAAGAGCTCTGCCCCCCAGCACACCATCCACAACCTGACGCCATACACCAACCTGAGCGTCAGACTGGTGCTCCGCAACCGCGAGGGCGTGAAGGAGAGTGACGAGATCCACATTCAGACCGACGAGGATGGTGAGACAAAGAGAGAGCATCCACTAGATTAACCATCATATTGTCACAGACGTAATAAAACATTATATCCCGAAAATAGTTAATTTTTAGGATATTGTTTCAGACAGTATTCTGGCCAACTTCTGTTGGTCCATCCACCTTAAAATGTCCACATTTTCAAATAGTGTAAAACAGCCAGTCAAAATAATAAAAAAAACTGTAAAAACAATTGTCAAAAAAATAAATAAAAGCAGCATTTATATCAACTTGGTTAAAATCCTTAAGATCCTAGGCTTATTACATACTAAGGCCTATTATTCAGTAACAACAAGGACTTGGGGGCAAACTGGCTGAGCTATTCTTAGGTTAAAGAATGTTTATAAAAAACATTGGTCCATTTAAGTGGTTAAAGGGAAATTCCACCGATTTTTAAGGATTTGTGCATAATTCAATCGTTGGGATGTAAACAGAGTCGATTGGTCAAGGGTACTGTTTTGCCTTACAGCGCCCTGCATGTACCTCTTCGCCAGTGATAAATAATTTAAATAATTACTGAAATAAAAAAAGTAATAACTTTGTATAATAGCTTTCTGTAATGTGGCTTTTAGAGGCATTAAGCACTTTAGATGTCTGTTCTTACCACCACAACTGTGAGCAATTCTGGCTCTGTTTTAGAGAAACTCTTGCCAAGTTTATCTAGAGCAGAGCGTTTTACATCAAACCACCTGAATGAGTTTTTTTAACAGCTTGCCCATTTAATTACACATACAGTTAGACATTTCCCAAACTTGACATTTTTTTATGTTTTGGAATATTGGAATTCTTTGATAAGTTATGTTTAGTCATCTTAGATATGACTAAATTGCACCTTGAATGTTTCTGGGCAAAATCTGCTGTCTATAGTATGTACCATGAGAATTACTTGCACCCAGATTGAAAGCAGTGTTGACACACTGAATCGATGCTGGGCACACTGAATCGATGCTTTCAAAACATGCATTGTTTGTAAGACGTAGGAGGATTTATTAGCAGAAATGGAAAGTAGTATACAAAACCATGTTTTCATTAGTGTATAATCTGCTGTAATACTGTCATACTTATTGTTTAGCACAAGAATAATCAAGGGAAGCTTCATCGTCAAAGAAGCGAAAACGTAAAGAAGCGAAAAGAAATCAGGAATGACAAAGGCAGAAAACCTGATGGCCGCTGTAGGTTCTATTACACACTTGAAAAGGGAGGGGTGAGGGAGGGGTACACAGTTGGTTGCAATCTTCAACCTCGCCACTAAATGCCAGTAAATCTTACACACTGCTCCTTTACTGTAATTCAACAACTCAAAGAGTGGTCATGGTGTCACCAAACTTTCTGTCTTGCGGCAATGTTTGTGAAGTGTTTGTGGAGGGCTGAGGGCCAAAAATGCCAAACAGTATTCAAGAAAAGAAGGTAGATGAGTTTTTTAAAATGTATTTTATAACATGACCCTCAGTTTACTTCAAAAATACAATTTAAAAAGGAAAAAGAATTAAAAAGAATTAATTAAGTTATATGTAATATAAAGATATCAGTGGGTGAGGTGGTGGGGTTATGTTGCGTACACATAGCATTGAAGCCACGAAAACATTCGCATAGTGATAGCATTAGTGTTGAAAATGGTAATTATCAGAGGATAGCTTTAGCAGTGTATATTGTTTATTTATGGTGGAAAAAGGCAGGAGGATGCTCTGTGCTCATTTGCTGTATTGTGTCTTGTATAAAACTGGGTTCAAGAAACTATGAGATATTTGGCATCCATGGTTCACAAAAAAATCCCGGCTATATCGAAAGCAATGGAATATATGGTTTGCCGTCTTCCCTCTACCGCCAACATATGAATGCAGAATTAGGTTAACTTTCTGGTAGACCAAATCAAACAGCCATATGGACCAATATGGGCCAGACTTTGCACAGCCCTGATTTAGCCCAGTCTAGACACAGACTATCTGTCAGACAGTTTGTCTAGAATGTGTCAATATTCTAGACAAACTGATGTTTCATACAAATGATAGACCATTTTTGCTTGGTAGTGCTCATCAAGCTATTTTCCATTTGATCATCAAGATCAAAAATGCATTTTTACATTTAGTCTATTATAATAATTGTTTGATGTTTTGGACTACTAATTATGTCTTCCATTAAATAGTCCCAGCAGAGGAAAAAACACTGTTTTTTATGATTCCTAATTAGAACATCGACCCCTAATAAATCAGTAGCTTTTTTTATATCAGATGTTTTTTTTTCTTTTATTCAGTTATAAAACAAGTTGAATTAACAGACGTGTGTATACATGAACTTTGACAGCAAACACACTTCAGAGACTAAGCATAATCACACACACAAACACACTGTGTCCCATCACGTTTACTTCAAATATGTTCAGAGAAGAAGTTGAAAGGCAACCACTGTATTGTGGCAAGAGAAGTGTGTGTGTGTGTGTGTGTGTGTGCATGCGTGTACACCCCAAGGTGAAAATGTAGCAGCAGGATGGAGTGATAATCCTTTAGATGATCTCTTTCAGCATCACACACAGAGGATCAGAGGTTTGTGGTGTGTGTTAAAGAGAGATGGGTCACAAGGGCAGTTCTGTCTCTAGTAAACACTGAGCTCAGATTGAAAGACCTACTAATCCCCAGAGAGCTGAACTAGCTCACTTCTAATATAAGAACATGTGCAGAGTTCTTTTCCCTACAGTGGGGGAGCAGCAGGCACCTCAGCTGTGCTCTCTGTCAGAACAACTTTACACATATTATGCTTTAGTTGTTGAAAAGCAGAGTGTATTGTTGCCATATTGACCTAGAATGAGAGGAAATTGACTCAAAGTTTAACCTCTTAAACCGTAAGGACCTGTTTATGGGCCCACAGTTCACTTCATTGTTCTCGTGCTTACATATTATCTTCATAATAGTAACCAAATAATTTATAGCAGTTACTGAATTATTCAGATTCACAATATTCACAACAGGACTGTAAAATGAGTCATAAGATTCATATTAAGAAGTGCATAATGAACCTAGAGCATAAACAACCCCAACAATTCAATAAATTGTCTTGTTTTTTCCTTTCAGTGCCGGGGGAGGTCCCTCTAGACTCCATCCAGGCCAGTGTGTACGAGGAGAAGATCATTCTCAAATGGAGAGAGCCAGCTCACACCTATGGAATCATCACCCAGTATGAGGTAAACGCGCACCCTCACTGAAACAATTCTCAGTGGAATGCTTTAATGCTTAGAAGTCACAGAGATCACCGGCAGCGTGGTATAATTTGATGTTAACCATTTCTGGCCATTACTGCCAGTTAATCTACTCTTCTTCATTAAATACATGATTTCTCAGTGTTGTTATGGCATTTATTAATATGCAAAAAACAAATTAAAAAATAGTCTATTTTTATTTAGGAAGTCTCACAAAGAAAATGCATAAATACAAATATGTCATGCATCAGTCGAGTCTAATTGTCACTCTGATTAAATAAATCAGTAATAAGCAGTAACTGCTAATCAGACATCCAGCCTTGTGCATGTCTTATATCGTGATTGATACACAGCACCACACAGAAAGCTCTGATTCTATATGTGGATACGATTCACTGTGGCCAACGTGGACATGCACACACTGCAACTCCTCTGAACGCTGTTTAAGTTGGCTTTAAAAATCCAGTTAATAACGCTTTAAAAGTTAAAGCAGTTGCACCGTTCATTGTTTTTGGTAACATAATAGGGTTTGTATAGCAGATACTCAGGTAGTAGCTATGGTGTTGCTATAGGGTTGCTTTGTTATTGCTAACATTCTTGTATGATGGTGACATAAGAAGTGTCTAAAACTTTTGGCTACAGACTGTCCACTGACTCTGATGATTCCAAGAGGGAGAGGTAGAATTACTGAATGTTATATAAGTGGATTACTTATTCATTTATATATGAAAAAAAATCTTTATGTGTAATGTTTAAACGAACATTGTATGAACAATTATGAGTGATGTTGCTTTTATTAGAGCAATGAAGCGTTTTCTTTGATGACACATCAGTTATTGCTGTGCATGCAGTCTTGGTTTGCGTGAAGAAAAAATATCCATTATTATTTTGCCTAATTTTGTTACATTTTAACGTCAAATCGAATGGGGAAAAAAGTATAGACTTAAAGCGGACGATGTAGCATATAAATTGAAATCATGCATGCATACATTTGAATAGTATAGCAGATGAAAGTAAACTCCAGAATTAGAACCTACTGGTATTCTGTATCCTCTCATTTCTTATAGCGAATGCTACAGCTTCTTTGATCTGGTCTAGAATAATGTTTTTTTATAACCATTGAACCTCATGCTTCAGTTCTTTCACAGTGTTTTTTTTATGTGTCACTGGCACAAAAAAGAAAAAAACAATGATAGTAAGCAATTGATACTGATTGGTCCTGACTGTTGGTGTGCAGCCTGTAGTGGTGTATAAACTATATTATAGGCCACATAAATCTATCATAACATGGTTGTGCAGATAGAGCTGAGAGATTGAAGCGCTGCCTTGTACTTGCTGTAATATCATCCTGTCCAACTAGAAAGTTTAAAGATGCAGGATGAGTCCTCTCTGGAGAGCGAGCACGGCTTTACGTTGTCATAACACGTCAATCCAACTCCAATACCATCTTGTTTTTGTTGGGGTTGGAGGCTAGAGGCCATGCATCGATCCAGAGCTATCTCGATGGAATTTTTTAAAATAGAGCTGCCAAATTCTCTGCGTTGTGGCCATCATTTTTCCCCAGGTGTGTGTGTGTCTCTCAGTGTGTGTGTGTCTGTGAGTGCTCTAAGCACACTCAGACAGGACTGGCCTTAGACTCTATTTTGTCTGCGTTCCCCAGAAGCACTAAGCCTGAAGTCAAGTCCTGCCTTTGATTTGACAATATCAAAGGGTTCAAACTGAGATTCCTCTGACAAGCAGTGATATCAAAAACAGATTTCAACTCTTTTCCTCTGACCAGGCTCTCTCTCTCAGTCTCTCTCCCTCTCTCTTTCTCTTTCTCCTATACTCTCATATACTTTGTTTTTCTCTTTTTTTCTCTGTTCACCCAAACCCCTTTTTTGCTCCTCAAACCAAGAAGAATAGAGTAGCTGTCCTCATTTCTTTATCTCTGACAAACAAATGCACTCTCTTCTGCCCCATCCCTTCTTGGTACAGCTTGGAGATGAGGTTCTGTTTCCTTCATCTGCTTGCATGCATGAGTGTTGTGGATTGTCATACAAAGAACCTGCAACCTCTCTAATCTTCTACTGGCAATGACAAACATCCAGAAAATGTTGCTACACTAAATATCTTAATATTGGCACCTAGTTTTAGAAGTTTAGCTTGTACTATGAATAAAATGAATAGCCACTAACAGCATCAAGGTCATCAGGAACAACCAGTTTGCAACATGATTGCAAATCCCAGCATTAAAAGCCTGCAAATCAAAATTCCATTCCAGTGTAAAGAATGCCTCCCCGTGCCTTAATGCTAATGCACAAACCATAACAAATATAAAGACCAAGACATTCAGTTCAAATTTTAGTCCAGACTCCAGTTCAGCCAGACAATGGAATCTTCCTCCTCTTCATCACTGCTTTTCTTATACAGCATCATAATTGGAAAAAGCCTTGAAGCATTTCAAATATAATGGATATTAATTTGGTAGAACCCATAAAAGGCATTTTGTGTTACTGACTAGACCAACACTCAAATTAATTTGTATAGCTGGCAAGAAAATATGCTTTAATAGGCTTTTTGAAGTGAAAAAAGACATTTGAAGAAAATTCCCTGGTTTTGATGTCCTTATGTTTTACTTTGCTGGGTTACAGGGAGTTCAAGTAAGAGATAAAAGCAGCAAAGAACATATTGAAACTGACTGTACTCTAAGGGAGGAAAATGACAGTGAAATCTAACATGCATCTTGAAATGAAGGCGATTGAAAATTTGGGCTGCTTGCTTCATTTGAGGTCTGAGTGTATAAACACAATAATTCAGTTCAGTTCTAAAAGAGATAACATGCAGAAAAGTGTTTTAAACTATGTCAGAATGAAAGAATTTTGGTTTATACTGTGCTTTGAATTCACTTGATTCGAATGTGTAAATCGGTTCCACATGAACAAAATACATCAACAGAATTCTCACCAAAAGCAAGTCAAATTAACAACAGTAGTTCTGTCAACATAAGGTATTTCATTCATGCAGAACAAGTGTACACGTTTGAATCAAATAAATTCAAAGCACCATTTCTTTCAGTGTGGATTGACACTTACTTAACCGGCATATTAGTTTCATAGCAGTTCCTAAATCTTTTATAATAAGTTTTAATAAGCAAATAATACACTTGTCTGCAGTCACTGCAGAAGAATCTGGATGATCATTGAAAATGTCCATTAAGTTGCTCTTTCTGTGTCCACAGATCTCCTATAAAGCAGTTAGTTCTTTTGACCCCATGTTGGACCTCTCCAACCAGAGTGGCAAGGTGATCAAACTGGGCAATGAGACGAGCCATGTGTTCCTGGGGCTTTACCCTGGCTCCACCTACTCTTTCACCCTAAGAGCCAGCACAGCCAAGGGCTACGGACCACCGGCCATTACTCAGGCCACCACCAAGATCTCAGGTCAGTTGAGGGAAGGAAATTTATTAGAATAGAAAAAATAAAATGGACATTTCTGCACATATTACATTGTCTATCTGTCTATCTAGCTATCTATCTGTGTCTGTCTTAAGACCATTTCACACCAGATTTGACGCGGTGCATGTGGTGATCTGGAACCACTCCGCCACGCTTATTATTTAATGCAACACACATGCGTCGCAAGGCAAAAGCGGTTTATATTTGTGTTACATTTTCATGTAATACAGATGTCTGTATTGTCTGTTTATTGCTTAAATAAATTTTATGTAGATGACATACAGAGATGAACAATAAAAATGTGACTTGCTCCCATGACCAGTAGGAGTCTTTTTCTCCATGTGATTGTAGCTATATAAAGATGCAAAATTAATCTAAGGGATTTCTATCAGTTTGTCAATGAGTTCCAAAACTCCATTTGTTACTTTGTTGATTAGCCTAGATAGTATATTATAGGAGAAACACTGCATTTCTTTTTCTGCTTCTGCCTATATGGTTACTGTGCCTGGTGTGAAATGCACTTTAGAGCTGTCAAAAATTAACATCGAGTCTGTCAGTCAACGAATTGAATTAACCAACAAGATTACCAACTTAATTTCTCCTTCTATACTTAAACTACTTCAGTTGCCTATTTATATAACATGAATCAAATAAAGTGCTACATCAAAATTAAGAGGCAACAGAATATTTAGCACAATGAATCATGCATAATTATGCAGCAACATTTATAATAAATTGGCCATTTGCCAGTTTCATGTTTTGAGCACAAATCTGTCAATCCCATTCTTGGCCTATTCTGACTGTGGTTCCCTAACTAATAGTTAAAAAAACGCAACTTTTCCTAGAAAATAACCTTTTGGTTGCCAAAAATCCTTAGTAGGACAGCTGTATACTACTTACAGTGCAGTCTGTAAGTAATTGGACAGTGATACATATTTTGAATGTTTAAAATGAAACAATGACTATGAAGTTAAAAACCTGAATATCAACTTTACACAGTAAAATCACCAGCTGATCTTAAATGAACTCTGTAGGTGTTAACTCAGCACTGGTGATTTTACTGCATGAACGATGTAGAAATCAAACATACGCATCACTCAGTCATTTCTGGAGACTATAAGGAATTAACCCAATCTTAAAATTGTGTTGGTTGCAAATCTGTATATCTATCTCTGCATGTCTGTGCATATGTTTACCTTTATTAGTTTGCTACTTTCTCTGTAAGGAACAGATGAGGGACTCAAAGTCAGGTGGTTATAAAGCATCTTCTTTAACAGGAGAAGAATGGTGTTTTTATGAGAGCTTTGGCATTTATTGACTGGTACGACTACCTGTCTTATTGCCTCTCACTCTCTCTTTCCTTTGGTGTGTGTATGTGTGTGTAGCTCCTTCTATGCCTGCCTATGATCAGGAGACATCTCTGAACCAGACAGACAGCACTGTTACTGTCCTCCTCAAACCTGCCCAAAGCAGAGGTGCACCAGTCAGGTAGGACAACATACGCACACATGTGCACTCTGATATACACTGCTCATCAGAAATGTTGGATTTTCACTGTTACTTTTCAATTAAGTAAGAAGAAATTCATGTGAACCAACATGCTTTCCTGTTAGGCCTGGGCGATATCTAAAAACAGTTAGCACAATATTTTTTAATTAAAAATCGTGATTGTCTATTATATCGTACATATTAAATAATATAATATTGAGAACACCAACATCATTTAAAACTTTGCCTGTCATTTAATTGATGTTACTGCAAACGTGCATTAATGTGCTTCCTCTGGTGCAGATTTGGTTACAACTTATGTGCCTATAGCCATCCTGTTGGAAAAACTTAAGACTGCAGGTGATTTCCAAAGCCATGCCCACGCACTCTACATATTAAAAAGAAACGAGGTGTGTTCTGTTTATATAGAGGGGTCACTTTGAAATTCAGCTGTAGAAGCCTTTGAAAAACCATGTAGTATTTTCATTTTAGAGTTTTTGTAATTCAGCTAACCACTGGGACACATTTTCAAACTGTACAGAAAGTACTGCAAATTTTACTCCAACAGTAAATCACACACAGCAGAGAGGGCAGGAAATTTACTGCACCTTAGCCTAACAGCTTTTAAAGCCCCCATGATAACCCAGTGTTTTAATAGTAAAAGTGAAAAAAACATTATGTGGGCATTTTATTTCGTCTTTATTCTGATCTTGTTTTGACTGTAGACAGAGATCAGATGAACTTTCTTTATTTCTAAAAGCTTCAGGGCAAACACTAGCTACTCTAGGGTAACACCCAGCCCCGTTAGCTTGTTTGTTTTACTGCAGCGAGCCACACTGAAAGAAGTTCCAAAGCACACCATTTATTTTCAGCCCCATGCTTTCAAGCTGAACTTAACATAACGTAAAATTAAAGTGACAGGGACATCTGTGCAATAGGTAAAACTAACGTCACAATTGTCAGCAAATCTCTCTCTCTCTCTCTCTCTCTCTCTCTCTCTCTCTCTCTCTCTCTCTCTCTCTCTCTCTGGTAAACAGAAAAAAACTGACTATTGAGGTGCAAGCATGTGCACTTCTTCAAGAAACACGATCCCCAGTTTCCCAACATATTTAGCACGCTTTGTAAATTAGTCCTCTGTAGTTCTCCTTGGCAGTTATTGCCGTTTATGCATCGCCATCGTGTTACTTGACAGTCATCAACGATATCCAGTTACATCGGCCTATCGCCCAGGCCTGTTTTCTTTAAATTTTTCTTAAATAATTATTTGATTATTTTTTTATTTACAAACTGTTGTTAAAAGCACATATTGTATAATCCCTAGCCAATTACATTCTAAGACTTTTTGTTCAGAAACTACATGAACTACAGTGCAAACTGGCTGGGTTATTCTTAAGCTATAGAAGTGTGTAGTAGAGATTTGGACCTGCCGACGGTTCCTGACAATTTAAGGGACTTTACCCCTAACCCTTTAAGACTTAAGCAAAATTGTGGCTGCTTGGGCCATTTAATGTGTTTTCTGCATTACTCACATGATTTCACATGATTTTCTGATGATTGTTGTTGCTGCATGTATTTGCCATGCAATGAACCTGATCTAACAAAGCCGAAAACGAGTAGATTTTTCTTTAGTTTATTTTTAGTCATCAAATACTATAGATTCTGGCCGGATGCTGTGATGTGATTAAACTGAATAACAGGTTAACAGAAATTTGGTATAATTCATAGTAACTTAGCAAAATGTAACCTAATATTGATAGTCTACATGGCAAATAACCTCTAGCCAACATATGAAAACAAAATTGTTTAAATAAGACTTTCTGAAGAGAATATTTGAGAACTTTTTCTAAACAAGAATTGCATTTAACATCATTCCTATAAATTTCTCTTAAGATCTTGCACAAGTTAAAAAAACGTTGTGAATCTGGAAAGTTTTCAGTGCTAATGAGCGATGAGATCACAACAAGGGGATCAAATGTGTAGGGTTTGGCTTTATTCTCAAGATAACAGTGTCACAAATATTGTTGCAAATATTTATGTGATACTGTTTTCCTGAAATGAAACATAAACATGTCATTCTTTAACATATTAAGTTATTGCAAACTGACAAAGAAAAGATGCTAAGCTGTATTGGAAACACTGAGAAAAGAACCCAAACTTTTGATGGGTCGTGTACAAATGCCCACATACACATTTACACACTGTTTGTAGTTTAGTGCTATCAAAGCTACATGTCTTGTGTGTAGTGTAGTTCATGTAAAATGCTGTCTCTAATCCAAACTCAAAGACAAACAAAAGACTCAATAATGGCATACAGTAGCTACGCGTGAACCTGAGAATCCCTGTGAAAAGGCCTGGACAGCTCAGTGTAGCTGCCAGTGACTCTGCATCTGCACCGGTAATGACTCCATTTAGCTCCCAGCTAAACCCTTTTCCCTGCTTTTTCATTTTCAAAACAGTTTTTATCTATTTTCTTCCCCTTTATTGTTTGTGGATTTGATCCCTCAGAGTAAGCTTTGGCCTTTGAAGCGGAGAACAAAGTGGATGTGTGTGTGTGAGTGTGTGTGTGTGTGTGTGTGTGTGTGTGTGTGTGTGTGTGTGTGTGTGAGGCTTCAGGAGAACTCTGCCTCTGAACTGCTTTCATCTGCTCGCTCTGCCTGTGCCACCGTAGCCGCTGGCCGTCCCTGAGCCTTCAACATATACACACACCCTGTCTCTCTCTGCCCATCCTCATTAGTAAATAGTACACACTTCGCGGCCTCAGAAATTTAAATCTGGTGTCGAGGGTCTGGACTCCTTCTGTAGCGCAGTGGCAGGTTCAGCTGAGTGTTCCCCCAAGTCCTGGAGGTCTGCCCGACGAAGTGTTCATGAATCTTGGAGCACTTTGGCTACATAGACCCAGAAACCCGAGCAGATTGAGAACAAACTTCTCCCCCTCGGGTCAACAGACTCATTTCTTTCCGTCGGACACTGCATCGGATTTAATAAGTATAGGATAAAGCCGTTCCAGTAAGCGTGCTTTTGAACTCCACAGGGATGTTTTTTATTGTTATCGCTGCTAGCACAATGCACCACATTACTAAGCGTAACGAATGCCCCCATAACCACACAAAATCATAACCATGTAGCAAGAAGAAGTAAAAATAAATTACTTTCATGTACGGCAAGTGTAATCTGAGGGCGTCTGACACAGTTTGGATTTATGGGATTACGCATGAACATTTGAAAGCTTTAACCTATTGAACACTCCTTTTATTTAATCCCAATCTCCAGCGTTAATCTGACAAAGTCATATTCGCAAGGTACATTGCTGACTTTATCAAGGCTTTTTTTTAATAATGAAAACAAAAAGACGAAAATCTCTTTATTCCAATCCCACCTTTAATCTCTGTCTGTGTTCTACAATTTCTTTGTTATTGCTGAGAATCAGGTGGTATATTAACAACCTCTCCGCTGGCAAGAGTGGCATTCTCTCAGTAGAGTAATTACAAAAAGGCTGATTAGAATTACAGAGGCAGCATGAGGGGAGGCTTTCATTAATTATCTTGTGTGTTCTTTCTTTGGTTTACTCAAACAAAGTCACACACGCGCGTTCACACAAAAGAGACTCTGATTAATCTTTTAAGATCATGACTTTGGTTTATGTGTCTTTACGTTGCCAAGGGCAAAATAGTGTGTTTTGTGACATAGGCTCTAATAGGAATGAAGTTGTTTTAATTAGATTAAGACGATGAGGCGGAAATATCAATGGCTCGATTTCACAGTGATCAAAGGCTGCGAAGTCAGCTGTTTTTGATATGCAAGTTTGATATTTGCTTTAATAAGAGAATTAAACATGCTGAGTGTAGTTTAAAGTGTCTTCAGATACCAAAGGCCTCAGGTGCTTCATCAGCCGTGGATAAAAGTGTGTAAAATGTAGTCTGTGTGTGTGGTGCACATCCTCACACAGTGTGTTAGTGTGTTTGTGTAAAGTGGAGTGTGTGTGTGTGTGTGTGTGTGTGTGTGTGTGTGTGTGTGTGTGTGTGAGTGTGTGGTATGTATTTAGTGTTTCTCCTAGATTTTTTCACGCCAGGTGGTAGACCCTTCGGAGCTGCCATTGTCATCATCAAATGGTTGCAAGGCTGTAGTAGCATCATATACATCATAAATGTACAGTGAATACACCAAGTTCTACCAAAGTAAGAAGTTTGTTGAGTATTGCTCCCTCCTGAGCTGCCAACACACTCTCAAGCACCAGGCTACAGTGCTAAATCTATGGGCTTCTCATCACGCTGGCATGAGAAGTATGAGTCCTGATTTAGCAGCAATACTGTCAACATTTTGAAGATAAATGTGGTGAGCACTGTTACATGGATTTAAGTATTGGAAGCGTATGTACATATTTTAGTATAGCATTAGATACGGTAATTATAGTTACCCAGATCTCAAAGTGGCAAGATTATCAACCAGTTCATTAACACTGAAGGTGTATATGCTATAAATCACCAGCATGTTAGTTAGGCTGGTCATTATAGCTCCTGTGTGCAAAGCCAGAGATACAAGTGTAGTTTTTTCTATTAGGAGCTCTGAGTTTTAAGTAATCCTCCTGGTGCCAATACTGGGGCCAACTCTTAGACAGTGTCAATGTAGTTTCCATTTTTTTGTTTATGTTCATATTTACATAGGTTGGATGATGTATTTTTATGTGTGTGTATATCTGAATTTGATCTGACTACATAGAGGTATTGTATGTGTGCATGTGCAAGAGAGAGAGCGAAAGAGAGGGAGAACAAGCTACAAGGCCAACAGTGCCGTGCCTTTGAAGATGGCTGTCTCTTTTCTTTTGAAGAAGTTTCTGGATGGCAGCTTTCGCTCTCTGTTTCACCCAGGTTCGCTGAGCCTTAGCTTGTGGCCATGCTCAAAAACTGAAAACACTACCCTACCAGAATAACAGAGGCTGATCCTCAAGCAGAAAACAGAGATCCATGTTTAATCTATGCTGCTATTGCCTGTGGAGTGATTGA